TGTGTGTGGCCAGCTCAGTACACCAGGGGGCGGGGCTGGCCGGCATGTGGTGCTGGGGGATTGAACCGCGGTCCCTGTGCTTTGCCAAGCTTGCTCCAAGTAGGTGCTCCAGACCACTGAGCCATCTCACCAGCCCCAACACCTACTTACTCTTATTGCCTATTTAACTGTAAATTAATTTGGAATTGCAAAATGGTTATTGCGTAGTTCTATGGTTTTTTTTTTTGTATCTTAGGGAAGGGTCTACAGGGTGTTCAAGGTCTTACTACTAGATCAGACTCCTAGTGATCTGCTTATTTACAGCCTCCCAAGAGCTGGGATTATAGGCCTGTGCCACCAAGCCCAGTCTCAATTGCTGTGGCCCCGGGGGTGGGGCTGGCACCACAGGCCGGGAATCAAATCCTGGCCCCTGCTATCTTTTCTTTTTATCAATTAGAATGTTATCTTAAATAGGTATTTCTGACTTTATTTGGGAAACCATATGAAAAAGGTAGAATAAATGCTGATTTTCCTTTATTTACCAGTTTTTGTAATAATGACCTGATATTTGGCTAGTAGGAGCCTCTTACATTGACTCTTGAGATTTTGGATTAGTTCCTGCACCTGGTGTTGCAAGATTCATCCTATACTTTTCTTCTGGAGCCACTCATTTCTCTAAGAAACTGTAGTGAGAAATGGCATTTCAAAATCACTGCCTTAGCATTAGACATGTTCTTTTTGTGTGTCTAGGCTATTTCAGTGAACAGAGCTAGGAAATGTAAAGATAAAATAACTCCTACAATTCGTATTTCTAATTCAAATTGAAGACTATTGGGCTTTTATTTAACTTATCTCTATTATGTGTGTATTTCTTTTTTTATGATTAAAACAGTTTATTTTGGGAGAGACCGTGTAGTAAGGTGCTTTTGAGATGACTCAGCATCTGCCAATCATTTCTGTCAGACTTATCTATAGAGATTCAGTAGGAGGCATCCAGGGCTGCGTATCTTTTAAAATATGAAAACTTGATTAATCTTTGTTGTTCCTGCTCCTTTGCTGTCCTAGAATCACTTTTCTCATTTGTGCCACTTTTATTGTTTCTGGTAGCATGAACCCAGGCATACCTTTCTATCATTTTCAATAAATGTAGTTGCTTTTTCTTTCACCCATTGAGTGCATAATTGCAATTCTTTACTTGTCATGTACAAGAAACAGGAATCTTGCTCTTGGACATATCACAGTGTCACAAGTGCTCTTTGCTCTAAATTGTCTTTCTTTTGTTATGTGCAGAAATTTGTAAAATGGCCATTGTCCTGAGAGTCAACCCAATAAAGTTGGGCAAGGTCTTTGACTCTTTCCTCTTTTCTCTACTTATCTGGTTCTATATTACTTTTCCTGCCTGTAAGTCTGTCTCTTATCCACATGTTTACATTTTTTTGATGTTGCTGGATAGTATTTTATTGCATGGATACATGATATTTTGCTTATCCATTCTCTAATTGATAAGACATTTGTGCTGTTTCTATTTTTTTCTAATTTAATTTAATTTTGAAGAGTAAAAACAAAAGGAAGAACAAAAATCAGAAAAAAGGACAGAAACAGGGTAACATATAACAATATGTATGTTACAGATTTTTCAAAGCAAGAATAGCTGATTAACAATGGTTGCTCTATTCTCTTTTTATTGCCAAATCTCAGATTGCTCAGGATAACAGATAAAGTTATGTAAGATTGGACATATGATTGAATATTACCACTTGTTTTTAAGAAATCTTAAATTTTGATTCTTGTCTCTTTTCTTTTACCTTTTTAAAAAGTTTATTTTAGTTTCGTCTCTTTTTTTTTTTTTTGGCGGAACCAGGAATTGAACTCAGGCCCTTGCGCTTGTCAGGAAAGCGCTTATTCCACTGAGCCATCTCCCCTGCCCCCTAAAAAGTTTATTTTAAAGAGAGCATAGTAAT